ATATTTAGTTTATAAACTATGACATTTATAAATGTATGAATCATATGGTGAAAAACTGACTTTGAAAAATAAATCTGTTCTTATAAAAGGCTAAATAAAACAAAAATACTGGTGGTAATTTTTGACTGTGTAACTTTACAAACGGCATCTCGTAGCTAAATGCTAAAAATGTCAGAACTCTTGCTAAAATCTCAAACAAGCAGAACAGTAGCCAAAAACGATTCAAATAATAATTAAAATCTAATGTAGCTGAATGTTAAACTAGTCGGAACGTAAGCTAAAAGCTGAAATAAGCATAACGTCTTCTTCTCCCTCAGGACGGTCTTCACCTGCCTGCAGCCTACGAGCCGGAGCCACTTGCGCAGTACGGCACTCTGGACGTCGCCTTCGAGTACGACTCCGGCGAGCAGTGGCTGGCCGTCACCGTCACGGCGGCCACCGACATCCCCGCCCTCAAACAGACGGGCAACATCTCGTGGCAGGTCCACCTGGTCCTGCTGCCCACCAAGAAGCAGCGGGCCAAGACGGGCGTGCAGAGAGGCCCGTGCCCGGTTTTCACCGAGACCTTCAGGTTCTCCCGGGTGGAGCAGGACGCCTTGGGGGACTACGCCGTCCGCTTCCGCCTGTACAGCATCAGGCGGATGAAGAAGGAGAAGGTCCTGGGAGAGAAGGTGTTCCACCTGACCAAGCTGAACCTGCAGGGGAAGATCGCTCTGCCCGTCACCCTGGAGCCAGGCTCGGAGCTTACAGTGGGAGTGCTACTTCATCTCGCACTGTGCCGACTTCACTGTCCTGTCCCCTAATCCTGTCCCCGTTCTGCTCCTGCCAGGGCTGCGGCTCGCTGGTGAGCGTGTCCCGCAGCGCAGGAGCTTTGTCCTGCCGCTCCACTGAAGACACGTCGCTGCCAGAAATCCTCCTGGGTCTCGTCTATAACTCTGCCACGGGGCAGCTGTCGGCCGAGGTCATACAGGGAAGCCACTTCAAAACGCCTGCGTCTGATAAACCTGTCAGTAAGTGCAGAAACACACATTCTTTGGCTTTCGGGACAATTTCCTGTCATTCCTAAACTTAACAACTCTGTTTAACCGCATGTAAAAATCCCCTTCTGACCTGAAACTGCTGCCGCCGCTCCGTCACTTCCTGTCGCTCTCTTTAAACCAGCTCTCTTTCTTCTTTCCAACGTGGTGTTTTCATCACAGATGATCTGTTTTGTTGTGTGAAACACTTCGTAGGGGGACAGCTGTACATCATGAGAGGTGAGGCGACACTGAAACATGGTCTAACTGTATTTTATAAACAGTGAAGGCTTAACGCTGTAGGTTTAAAATAAAAAAAATGTATCCATTTAAATAAAGAGCTGCGTCAAAGAAAATATATTTATATTTAAGAAACTTAGCATAAAGGGTTGTATCAAGTACCTCAAAGTGATACTTGAGTAAAAGTACAAGTATCTTATCATAAAAATACTCCGGTAAAAGCAGAGTTGTAAAGTAACAAAGTACAAATACTTTGTTACTGTACTTAAGTAGAAATTTTGATTATCTGTACTTTATTTGAGTAATTATTTTTCAGCGTACTTTTTACTTTTACTTTTACACAATTATCTGTACTTTCTACTCACTACATTTTTTTTAAAAGGTAAGAAGTAGAAAGTCGTTACTCCTGTTTTATTCTGA